TTGATTCATATAGCTAAAATTGATTGGAAAAAGGCTTGGAGATCTATTTTGGGTATTGTTTCGATTTTACCCCAGAATCCCCAGTTTCCCTTACTGCCAATAATTTCTATAATTTTAAATTTATCATAAGGAATAAATAACATTCTGGCAGATTCTTGAGTAAAATTAATTTGTGTATATTTAATAAATTTATCAATCACTTCATTTCCACTTGACTGATACAATAACTTAGATTGATAGCAAATTAAACAGATTTCATCATGTGATTTCAAAGGTTTTCTTTTCTTATTACAATTATTACATGTATTATAAGTATCATTTTTCAGATTAATCATAAACTCTATTGATGTATTTTTTCAATTATATTTTTAATATAGGTTTCTTGAATTTTATCTTTATTCTTTGTTACTATTTGAATACAATTAAGAGCTTTTTCTAAATTCTTTTCAGTTCCTTGACCATTCAAATAACAAAATGCAATATCAAATAATGCTTTGATATTTCCATTTTCTGCAGCTTTTTCATACCAATAAAAGGATATTTCTAAATGCTTTTCTATTCTATTACACATATTATATAAAGCTTTGCTAGATTTAACATTGCATATTTATTTTTCTTATTTGCTGCTTTTTGAAACCAATTGTAAACCATTTCAAGATTTTTTTCTGTTCCTAAACCATTCAAATATAAAGCACCAAAATTATTTTAAGCAATTGGATTATCCATTTCTGCTGCTTTTTGATACCAATAAAAGGCTTTTTCTAAATTTTTTCTGTTCCTTCGCCATAATTATAACATATTGCTAAATTAAGACTTACATTTTCATTTTTATTTTCAGCTGCTTTTAAATACCAGTAGAAGGCTTTTTCTAAATCCTTTTCTGTTCCTTCACCATTTTTATATAAGTAGGCAAGATTATTTTGTGCATTTGTATCATTCTTTTAGCTGCTTTTTGATACCAATAAAAAGCTGTTTTTAAATTTTTCTCTATACCTATACCATTTTTATAACAAAATGCTAAATATGATAATGCATTTTTATTTTTATTATTTGCTGCTTTTTGAAACCAATAAAAGGCTGTTTCTAAATAATCAAGGTTTGTTTGTACTATTGCATTATTTTTATCTGCTACTTTTTGATACCAATAGAAGGCTTTTTCTAAATTTTTTTCTGTTCCTTCACCATTTTTATAACATATTGCTAAATTAAGCATTGCATCTTCATCTTCATCTTCATTTTCAGCTGCTTTTAAATACCAATAAAAGGATTTTCTAAATTCTTTTCTGTTCCTTCACCATTTTTATAACATATTGCTAAATTAAGCATTGTAAATATATCATTATCTTTTTTATTACTGCTTTTTGAAACAAATAGAAGGCTTTTTCAAAAAATTTTTCTATTCCTTTACCATTTTTATATAAATAACCAAGATAAGTTTATGCAATAGCATCTTCATTATTTGCTGCTTTTTAAAACCAATAGATGGCTTTTTCTAAATTTTTTTCTGTTCCCTTAACATTTTTATATAAATAACCAAGATGTCTTTGTGCAATAGTATTTTCATTTTCAGCTGCTTTTTGATACCAATAAAAGGAATTTTCTAAATTCATTACTGTTCCTTTACCCTCTTCATAACATATTGCTAAATTATACATTGCAAATGCATTTTCATTTTCAGCTGCTTTTTGATACCAAAAAAAAATTTTTTCTAAATTTTTTTCTATACCTTTCCCATTTTTATAATATAATGCTAAATTAAGCATTGCAAATATATTTTCATGTTCTGCTGCTTTTAAATACCAATAGAAGGCTTTTTTTAAATCCTTTTCTATTCCTTTACCATTTTCATATAAGTTAGCAAGATTATTTTGTGCATTTGTATCATTTTCTTTAGCTGCTTTTTGATACCAATAAAAGGCTTTTTCTAAATTCTGTTTTATACCTTCACCATGTTCATAACATAATGCTAAATTATACATTGCAATACTATTTTCATTTTCTGCTGCACTGTAAAACCAATTGAAGGCTTTTTCTAAATTCTTATCTATTCCTTTACCATATTTATATAAAACGGCAAGATCATTTTGCGCATTTGTGTTACCATTTTCAGCTGCTTTTTGATACCAATAATGGGCCATTTCCATATTTTTTTCTATTCCTTTACCCTCATCGTAACATATTGCTAAATCATACATTGCAAATATATTTTCATTTACAGCTGCTTTTGAATACCAATAAATGCCATTTCTAAATTTTTCTCAGTTTCTTTACCAGTTTTATATAAATAACCAAGTTCTAATTGCGCATAAATAATTTCATTTTCTGCTGCTTTTTTCTTCCAATTAAATGCTAAATTGGCATTGATTTCAGTTCCAAATCCTCTAGTATAGCATTTACCTAAATATAGTTGTGCAATAGGACAATTATCTGCTGATTTTAAAAAGTAATTAAACCCTTCATTATTATTGTCTTTTAAACTGATTATATTGAAATAAGAAAATATTCCAAGTAAAAAAACATTTTTTGGTTCATTTTGATTTACTTTAAGCCAGTTATATATATCTTCGGTTGATAAAGAAGAAAGAACAATGGATTCATTAATAAAATGATTCGTTTCGTTAAATTTAGCTTGTGTTTTATTCAAATGTGTGAATAATTTATCAATTAAAATCAAAATATTAATATTATCAATTGAAATAATCATTTCTGATTTTGACATGATGGTTAAGTAAAAAAATTTTATCGCAATTCTTATTAAATTGAAAAAAAGGGGCGGCGTATTCTTTATGGTATTAATTTGGTAACTCGTATATTGTTTACAATTATTAATTGTTCTATTTGTTCTTTTTCTAATATTTTCGGGGCATTGTGTCCCAATTTTGTTTAGTTAATTTTTTTTTTTAGATCGATCGGCCACAATGTCTTGTGACAAAAGGGTTTCCTGGACAATGTCCTTTTTAATTTTTAGATATAATGATGGGATTTTAGCTTGGAATGAAAGCATGTTCCTATTAACAATAATATAATAAATTTAGTTTAGCATTTATTGTAAATATCGAAATTTTAAATAAAATACGTATCTGATCGTATAAAGCGTCGACGATTGAGGCATCACTTTATTTACGTAATTTTATATTAGTAGTTCGTTGTTAATAAAATTTACATTTAAACATATACTTCACTTAACTTCATTTAGTTTTCAACATATGATCATGAACTGTGCATAACAATATCTCACGATTCAATTGTAAAATAGGGAACGATCACCCTGTCCAAACTTTTGGAAGCGAACCAACCCAAATAAGGAACAAAAAGGCGTAGATTCCCGGAAGATAAAGAAATCTCGATCGAACCGGAAACTTTAAAAAAAAAAAAAAATGTAAATAAATAAAAAGTTGCGGCCGTAATGACAATATATATAAAGTCTAAAAATACATTATCTATGAAGCTTGATCCAACCCGAAGGAAGAAAAGAAAAATTGCAAATTCAAAAAAAAAATTGAAATTTTTGATCGTTGCGGGCCTGTGGATAGACATCTTTGCTAGTTTATCTTTTTTCTTGCTTTAACCAGATTTAAGATAAAGAATATTTTCGATATCCAAACTTCAAAGCTTTATTTCTCTGAAATGTAAGCATAATTTAAATTGAACTTTAGTTCATTAACATAAAGTTGAATTCCAAATGTGGGCCGATTCCTGGGAACCCGTGATGAATTTTATCGAAGAAATTGGCTAAAATTGAAACAGCAGGAAGTTCTGCAGTTATTCGTTCTTCTGAATTTACGTTGTGAATGGTTACGAATGCAAACTCATAAAAATTGTCGTAAATCTTCATGAGAATTGTGTCATTAAATTTGTTATGATTATCTTCTAAAAAACAATTAAAAAGAAAACTATCATATATAAATCGTACCTATATTTGGTTTACTAACTTTATCGATCGTATCGTACTATTTTAATGTAGAATGGGGGAATGGTGCATTGTGGCCTAAATTTAGAAAAATAGTATTTGGCTAGATTCTGCAGATCTATTTTGCCAATTTGTTTCAATATCTGTTGCCAAAATGACTTCTGGACAATAAATCCTTGCTGAATTTCGGGTATATAATGGGATTTCTTTTTAGTGAAGGTGTGTCCGATGGTGATAGTACTAAAAAAAAACCTTTAGTTTGAATTTTTTTTTATGCAATTCATTGTAATCTTTTATGAAACTTTAATTAATAAAATTAATAAGCGGTTAAAGCACCGATTGTCGATCGCTTTAGTTCGATAATAAATTATCTTTTAAAATAAAATAGCTTAATAGCCCATAAGATCCTGCATTACATACCATACAACATTGCCAATATTGGAAAAAATGAAAGCATCTTACCCACTATTCGACAATATAAAATATCAATGCACAAGTTTTCATCTTGCGCTAATTTTATTGCTTTCATTCTTTTCATAGTATCATATTATTCTGATACTATATGGGTGGTATCCTATTAAAATTAAGGTACGAGACATAGTAAATCATATGAGTCGTACCTCAATTTTAATAGTACATCACCCATATGCTTAATATTATATATAAACTATATCGAAACCACACAAGTTCTAGATGAAATTCAGCTTCAAGAAGCACTTTCAGGTGAGGTAAAAAGTACAAAGATTACCTTGAACCGTTCTGATGAATGGATTTTTTATCATCAACCTTATTTACTAATTATTTCTGAATATAGTAGGTCAATAACTATAATGCGTTAATTTAATTTGTTAGAATCCGACGTGCGAGATCAAAATTAAAAGATGTCGAAGAAATCAGATATAATGAATAGCTATTTTTATAGACAAAGGCTCAGTCGTGATGTATAGAGGAATACAATGCAACGTACAGCTATTTGAGATGTAATCATATAATTTTCCATTTCACAGTTGCAAAAATAATCGTATGACCAAATGCATGACACTGACTTATCCGGACCAGGATGGATCTTGAAAGATCACTATTTCTCCCGGTCTGTTGTTTGATGAATGCTCCAGCAAAAATTATATATAGGAATAAAGTTCCCAAAAAATAGCTTGGAGATCCTTAATAGTTATAACTCCCTGGATATCATTTTATAGATTATTACTACAGCACAAAAGAGTGCGAGTAGGGAGATGACTGAGGATAACATTTTATTAATTTATTTGTTTGAGAATTGATTGATTGATTGGCAGTGTATAATATACAAATCGCAAAGCATGAACAAATATGGCAATCCTATCTATTAATTTGCTGATCCCGATTCCGAAATTAAGCTGTATGGCTTCTTATCAATCAATAAAGTCAAAAAATATTATCATCCTCTTTCGGTCAAGGCTTTCAGATAAAAAGTTTACCATTATTTTTTCTCACTAAAATGGTTAGGTTTTCTCCCACAGAAGCAAGGCTTCAAGGAAAATTGTCATAAAAGTCCGATTTGACGTAACAAAATTGGAACGCATATAGCTCGTCAACCAATAACCCAATTTTGATGAGGATTGAACGACAGGATTCAGCAGGTTCTGAAAATCTATCAAGCAAAAGTTTGTGAATATCAGATTATTAGATGCAGAGTTATTTCAATATTTGTAAGGTACAATTATTTTAGACATATTCACAAAAGAATCTTGGAGAAGTCATATTGCCAAAGTGGCGTGAGAAGTGAGATGGTCTGGAAATCTACAAATTGCTAGTTTTTGTTTCTGAGAACCTAAAAAAGGTGAGAAATTGATAGGTTGTTATGCAAGAATTCATAGCTACCCAGTGAATCCCAAAATGTATTATTATTACTATATAAGAATTGATATTTCAACAGCCTTCGAAACGTGATCCAGAAGTTGTAGAAACCCCAACTAATTCGACCAAATGCAGGATACCGAGTGCTTTAAAACAAAGCCGATATTTGAAGAATTTGGATCACAGGAACCCAAAATAGTCTTTACAGTTGGGAAATTTTACTGTGCCACATCATAGGTTAAAAATTCAGTAGATCGATTTTGTGAAATGTAATACTGCGAAATCATCGCAATTTTTTAAATTATTCCCTGACCTGCTTACATTTCTGGCAATATATATGAGAATGATGATTACATTCACCATAAATTTACATTCATGCTTCAGCCTCTGAATATATGCTATTTTTTCAAAACAATCCATATTTTATATTATTAGAAATATATGTATCAAACTTTAGAAATACCTGAATTACTTGAAGTTATCTTTGGCTTTCTCAATAGGAAAGATCTCTATAGAAGTTGTCTAGAGTAAATCAAAAATGGAATGCCATATCCATATATATTATTCAAAAAAATGAAAAAGATTTATTAATATTCCCGTCATTTGTGATAATATTCTTTTTTATCTATTTGATAATAATAATAATGCTGAAATTAATAAATACTGAACTTTGATTTAATAGATCGTCCAATAGATTCACAAACCAAATGAGAGTCATACACTGGTTGAAATAGTCCAAATTGGCTATAAATCAGATGGCTGAATTTAGGCCAATTTTGGTACTATTTTCGGCAGGTTTGTTATTTTCTGATCGGCATAATCTACGCCGATTGACTCACACAGATAATACAAATTGACGCCAATTGATAAAACCATTTGGCATCAATTCAGAATATAAATTCTATCATAAATCGGCTTCAATTTAGCCAAATTGACGCCAATCAACTCAATCCGATATAACTATTCAACATCAATTCAGAATATAAATTCCATCATAAATCGGCTTTAATTCGACCAAATAAGTATTATAAAAAATCAGCCAATAGCGGTATATTATTTATTAGCAAATATTTAATAATAAAAACTAATACAAAATCCACCTTTTTCTATATTAAAAAAAATAATGATAAATGATAAAAAAAAATTCATCCCAAAATCCACCGAAATCATCCCAAATATCTATATAATATAATAATAAATGATAAAAAAAATTCATCCCAAAATCCACCGAAATCATCCTGAATATCTATATAATATAATAATAAATGATAAAAAAAAACGTCCTAAAATCCCCCGAAATCATCCAAATATCTATATAATATAATAATAAATGATAAAAAAAATCATCCCAAAATCCCCTAAAATCATCCCAAATATCTATATAATATAATAATAAATGATAAAAAAAATCATCTCATTTTCCTTTCAAAAATCCCCTGCAATTAATTTATTCTTCCAGATTTTCGTCATCACTTTCCACTGCAGAAGAAACTCCCCTTTGAACCTCTTCTACTTCTTCGCTTTTCGTAATTAGCTCTTCTTCTACACTGACTCCTGCATCTTCTTCTGTACTATAAATGACATTTGACGATTAGTCATTATAAGACTATTTAGGAGCATTCGGGGTAAGGTTGCTGGACGAAATCAAGAGTTTAGACAAATGTCTAAATGATAAAAGTAAAACTTGGTTAAATTATATTAAAACCTTATTAAAAAATCTGCGAAATTTGGAAAAAG